TGAAATTACAGGCACATGGGACTTGTCAACTTATGTCTCAGAGTGACGGGCGGTGCCCCTCAGATAATGCGATTTAAAGCTCTGAGAGTCACTGCAACTGTTATGGACAGGCGTATAGCTTACCATCAGGTGCACGACTTGTTCGTCGCGTCACTTGATATTACTAAATAACAATCTCATTGAGCTGATTTTCCCGTTTAGTAATTTTCTTGGTATTGTAATACCAGTGAGACTCCACAGACGAACAGTCGTTCGCCTAGTGGTAATCGAGACGCATCGTTCACAAATTACACGTGCCAGAGAAGAACGAGCAAGAAACTCTAGGGATTGCTCTTCTCAAATAAACTTAAATGCTGTGGATAACGTCTTTCCATGCATCTTTATCTAGTAGTAGTCATCAATTTTGTAATGCGACTTTTCAATTAAAATATTTTTAATACAGGTTGCTGGCGCTTTACATAGTAAAGATCTGAGATGCACTGTGACCTCTGTTATCACCCTGACACATAAGTTGAGAAGTCTCATGTGACTGTAATTTCACCAGCACCCTTACCCTTCAAAACCGGAACGCAGTAATGCTCACATTACTGCTCGGCGACTTAAATAACTGAATCGACTTTTTTTAAATTTATATTTATTGCAGTCACAGTCATTTTCTATCTAAAGACTTTACATTAGAAAATGAGTTAAAGTTATATCTATGTTCATTTATTTCTTATATAATTATTTTGTTTTAATTAGAAAAATCAACGATGTTTTCACACGTGCCCTGATAATGGATATCCAGTACACGGTATGTATTTAGTTTTGGACATTCAGTATAGTGTACACGCTATTAACCAGGGCATGTATTTAAATGATCGTTTTAAACTTGCAAAAGCAGTAAGCAAAAAAATCTGAACGGTCATCTTTTTTAATGACCCCCATCTAAACAAATAATTAAACATTTGAATATGAAAGACACCTTAGAATAATAACGCATAGAATGAATGATAGTTTCATATCAAACGAACTGTCACAAGTGAGGCAAGAATCAAATTCATGTAGGCTAGTTTTAGTAGTAGGGTAATTTTCGGTTTTAGTGAATATTTATATAAAAGTGCAAGTTGAAACGTGTTACTTCCTTGTGGAATGTGATGTTAGTATCTATTTTATGTTTGTCTGGCGTATTTTTACACTCATTTACCGGACATTTCGTCATTTTTAGTTAAAATTCTTGAGCTGTTCGCGGTGCAAGTTGACCTTGAGCACTGACGACCCGCCCGCTCGTGTAGGCCCATTGGGAGCCCTTCAATTTGCCTCACTTAACGTGTGCGGATAGGTTTCTATGCGTTATTATTCTAAGAAAGACACTATATAACGAGTGATGTATGAAAAATATGAAAATATGAAAAATATGAAAAATATGAAATGCTTTTCATGTATGTACCCCAATATCGGATATCTAGTATTGTGGGTACCTAGGTATCCAATATTGAGGTAACCACCTAATTGTACAATAATCGGTGAGGAAAATTACACCCTGCGCAATTATCGCTAAAATATATATTCTAACTATGCGCCTAGCTACTATATAACACAATTATAGTACTTTAATCGCGTTTCTAAGTAAAGATCTGAAAGAATCGTCGAACGGAAAAATACACATTGAATGTTGACAGTGAACTGAAGGCAAAAATGGCGCGGACAACTAGTAAAATATTGGTAACTTACATTGACGAAGTAGTTCTAGTTTTAAATAAAGATGGTGTTGTTTAGTTTTCATTATAGCGGGGTATCCAGTATTGTGCACGTATTCAATATTTGGTACGTCAGTTCTGTGTACGTAGAGTGTCAATGGTATGATTTTGTACGTTTGGTATATTTGGTACGGTACATTTGCTTTTCAGTGGTGAGTCGATGGCATGTCTATGGTCTAGTCTATTAATATTATATATGTGATAAATGAAAGAGTCGAGTCTTGTGTATTGGAGTCTAGTCCTAAAAAGTCGACTCCCGGACTCGAGTTTTTTACACTAGCTCCATGCTGATCTGGACCCAAAAGAAAAACATACAAGGTATCAGGAGCTTATCATCCCACGCAAGTTGTAAAAGTCGACTAGTATGCGACAGGCTGGCAACCTGTCGCTATGGTGCACTAAGTTACACAAGATTGTATACAATCTTAGATTAAACATTTACTAAATGTGGCTTTAGCTGCACTGCGTTATTTAAAAGGTCTGTCTACCTCTATATGGGAACGCAAAAGCGTGAGTATATATATGTATGTAATTGGAATAATAATATAATCATTGTGGAGTCTCAAAGAAATTACAATGACTGGCGGTTTAAAAAAAAATCAGACTTGGGAACCTGATGGCGTACCGTGAGATGTGATAAGCTTGCATATGTATGCAGTGCGTGCGTAGTACACATACTACGCAAACTTCTTAAATAGCTTACTCCAGTAACGTCAACAGCAATTATAAACACTACACGTTCACAACCACACACAAACACATACACACACAACCACCCGTTACGGCACATTATTACACAGTTCCAAGTTTAGGTTATGGCATGAGACGACGGAGAACCATCACAACCTTATTAATATAAGTCTCGAACTTACAATAGGTTATGACGGTTTCAATCGAAATTCACGAATTGTATGTACAATCTCAATAATTGGCTTGTACATGTTAATTTCTTTTCTTAAATAAATTATTTTTATTATTATATCTGTTTTAGATTCTCGCCTCTCCCAAGGCCTGAAAGATAATAATAATTATTATTATATTTGCGGGTCATTCGCCAGATTTGTTCGTAAATTCGTTAAAAAAATATAAAATTCGTAAGTTACAAACGTCCATCATCAGGTTTAAAATAAGAATATCAATAATTCTGTGAATGTTTCTTTAGCAAAACAAATATACAACAGTTTTGTCTGTACGTCGTACACTAGTCGCGTTTACTGGCCTTGTTTGTTAATAAATAAATACTATAATCATTGGAGCGAGAATACGAGTGGCATCTGAAGGCAGGTCCGATGAGCTTGGAGATGACAAGTAAAGTGCGCTTGGTGGAAAGCGATACGCCTATCCACAACAGTTGCAATGCCTCTCAGAGCTTTAACTTGCAAAGATCTTAGGGACACTGCTCCTGCGCCCGTCTCCTTGGGACATAAGTTGACAAGTCCCATGTGCCTGTAATTTCACCAGCACCCTTGACCTTCCAAACCGGAATGCAGTAATGTTCACATTATTGTTTGGCGGCGGCAGTAACAGGTAAGGTGGCTGTATTTCCCTGGACGAATTCTTTTACAAGGAGTTCTACTGCTAGTAAAAGTGCTTCAAGTGGAGACGCAATTGTTGTGGGGCCGCGGGGAAGAGACGTGTCGGTGTGCTCGTCCTGTCCTCCGCGGACAAATTTGGGCGATTCGCCAGTTGGGTGGTCGCAGGGCCGAGGTATTGTTCTCTGGCCAAGGTATCTGTATTGGAACTTAAGCTTGTCAACATATGTCTCAGACTTTTAATGTCTGAGACATAATGACGCAATGCTATTTTAGGCCTACATTTGGTCTTTGACAGTATGTATACTGTTGGTAAATTACATGCGGGTGTATTGGGAGTATGTGTGAGAGAAGTGTACTAAGGGTCGTATTCTAGAACTCTACTCCATGCTCAAGTCAGGATTTGAGTATGGTTTAAAGCACTCGAAATCATACTCAAGTCCCTGCCATTAGGGTCGTATTTCCGGTGCTTGTGTTGCCAGTGCAATCCTGACTTGAGCATTGAGTATAGTTCTAGAATACGACCCTAAGAATAGTACAAAACTTAGTACTACTAAAAACTAAATATTGTTTATTTCTTCTTTTTTTCCCCTTCAATTTTCTTTTGTCTTCCTCTTTGGGAGTTTTTTGAGAGAGACCTATTTGTACTTTACTTAATACGTAATTTTTATTTACGTTATTTTAGATAACATTTTTTTTCACTTTTTCCCTTCCTTTTTCTTTTCTTTTTTATTTCATTTTTTCCATCCTTTTTTTTCTTTTTTCCCACTCTCATTTTCCTGTTCTTTATTCATTCTTCCCTATTCTACCCTTTCCCTATTCCTTTCTTACTCAGGATGACGGACGCAGTGGCTGTGCTCTACAGATCTTTGTGATTTAAAGCTCTGAGTGTCATGGTCAGGCCTGTTCGTCCTATCTCTTGGTATCAGAATACAACTAGCCGTACTCCATCGCGCACTAAATGGTTTGCTGGCACCTTCCTCTGTTGACAAATGGAACTCCCTTCCAGAGCTCGTATTCCCTCCGTCTTCCAATATGGGGTCCTTCCTAGGGCAATGATTGTATCAACACTGCACTAGGTTCCTTCATGTTTCTATTCCACTTTCCATTTTACATCAGGTGGAATGGAAAGAAAATAAAGTTGCCTGCTTATCGGTATTCTAAAGGATATATCACGGAGAGTGTACGATGGAATTGCACAATTTGATTCCGCCTTCCCCTTTCCATCATCGGGGGACTAGGCGTAAGCTGGGATTCCACCCATATTTTGCCGGTATTCCAAGGATTCATACGAAGCATTTCGCTTCCACATTTATATGGCGAACGGCTATGAAGTTGAATTCCCTGCCTGCAGACTTGTTCCCTGAACGTTATAACTTGGACCTTTTCAAGGTGTGAGTAAATAGTCATTGTTTAGGTGTGCATGCTACATCGTTGACCCCGAGACTACGTTCTAAATTTACAAACAAACACACAATCTATCTGTCTTGTTATAGGCATGATAGAGACTATCATTAATGGATTCATTTAGTTCCATAGACGCCGTCGTCGCGTTCATACATAAACCATTTCGATTGTTATTTATATCACTAACCGTTACATTATTGTGGTTAAATTTTGTAGTTATCGAGTTCTTAGGTTTTTGCGATTGTTACACATAGGAAATGAAACTATTTTTCCGGATTTAAATCGCGTATATTTGTTTTTTTCAAACAAACCGACGTTTCGGGCCCTTTACAGGTCCTATGGTCACGGTTGACTGAGGTGGTACAGTCTTCAACCAGTTATGTCTAATATTGATGCAAACCACCCTATTTTTTTCATTATAGTTACAATAGTTATTAATTAAATACCTAATTTTTAATTTTACAAAGAAAACGTTCCAATTTACGCTACACTTTTATATATTTATTTATATTTATATTTTTTTGAATGAATTTTTATTAAGTTTGAAAAACCAAATATACGCGATTTAAATCCGGAAAAATAGTTTTATTTCCTTTTGTAGTTAATGCTAAATAATAATCAATATATGAATTTTAATAGTTCAATGTGGTACTTCACGTTTATAAAAGTATTATACAATAATGTTTGTGTGATTTTGAAATTGGGTAATTTGAAAACCCTCATTCATTGAAATTAATTCCCTATATTCATTTCGTAGGGTGCAGTTTTGCGCTGATAGTGTTATTCACACAGGGCTTTAGTTACCTATTGTTTTGCACGACATATTTAATCTCAATTCTTACGTATTTGTAACTGTGATTTTTTTATATGTGAAGTATATTGTAGTGATAAAAGAATGCTTTTGAAAGCTTTCATATTTATTATTGGTAAGTATTTTTTATTTACAATCTTTATAAACATTTTTGGGTTTGGAAATTATGTAACAGTCCTACGCCTTGGATATTTCTGTCGCCAAGCACTAATGTGTACATTACTGCGTCCCGATTTTGAAGAGTAAGGACTCATTCAGAGTGCTAACGCGGGCGTAGCGGCGTATGCGGGCGCGCGGGTCTTGGCGTTTTCCCTTTCATAGTGCCGAAGCGGTTACGAGCGGGTAGATCATCGAGTATGTAACCAGAAATAGAGACGAAATAAAAACCATATATTCCTGGTAACTTATCAGTGTTACATCACTTATAAATATCAACCCTCGTTTGTACTGAAATTACAAAATAGAAAGCTTAAATAGTACAGCGCCAACAACTGACCTGTGTGTACGTCTCCGTATATTCCAAAAATATTCTGTGTTTGTTGTAATAAAGATAATATCTCTAATAATGACATGCTGTTCCGTTCGGTGGCGTGGGGAAAAACAGCAAAACATCTAATTACAAAACAAACGGAATCAAATTCCATCGGTAATTAAATACATAGGGAGCACTATAAGTTTCCGGAACTGGCCACTTACATAAACATTATTTAAAAAGTAATTAGAACATTTAAAAAGGGAACTTTTTGGCTATGGAATACAGTTTGTTTCATCTGACTGTCACTTGCTTTTACATTGTGGCGTCATTTTAGAAATTGGTTGTCTACATCACCATGGATTTAACTCGTGAAAATTTTCGTTTTTCTACGACTTTGAGTGTAATTTAAGAGCTCAGCGGGGCTTCGCTCGGCTTCAAACTGCTTTTGGCGATGAAGCACCATGCAAGAGACTATTTATAGCTGATTTACAGAATTCAAACGCGGTCGTGTGAATCTCAGTGACGAGTTTCGTTATGGTCGCCCGTCCACTGCCGTGAACAACAAACACATCGATGCTGTGCGCCGTATGATCAAAACAGACAGGCATGTGACATACCATGAGATTCGGGCATCTTTAGGCATAGGCATGAGTCAAATACAATCAATATTACACAAACATTTGGGTGCGAAACAGTTGTGCTCTCGGTGGATCCCACACAATTTGACTGAGGCTCAAAATACGGATTGCGTCATTTGGTGCAATGCCATGCTTACCAGATTCAACGAAGGGGCGTCAAATTTGGTGTGGGACATAGTAACAGATGGAGAAACGTGGATTTATAGATACGATCCCAAAACAAAGCAGCAATTGAGCTCATGGGTCTTTCGAGATGAGCCGAAATCAACCAAAGTGGCGCGCGTGAAAAGTGCCTCTAAGCGGATGATTGCATCTTTTTTTAATAAAACTGGACACGTGGCTGCCATGCCGTGGCACCATGAATAGCGATTGGTACACGACCATTTTTTTGCCGGCAGTTATTGACAAACTCCGTAAAAATAACCGCGAATGCTGTAACATCATGCACCACGGTAATGCCAGTTCTCCCACGACAGACGAATTTTCGAAGGTGAACAACGTTGACCTTATGAGCCATCCCGCGTGCGGTCTCGATCTGGCACCTTGTGACTTTTATTTATATCCAAAAATTAAGAACCAGTTACGCGGTCAACGATTTTCATCACCTGAAGAGGCTGTCGACGAGTATGAAAAATATGTTTCAGAGATTGTTACGGAGGAGTAGCAAAAATGTTTTCAAAATTGGTTCATTCGTATTTAAAAGTACGTTAACGCTAACGGAGAATAATTTGAGAAACAATGAATTTATTTCTGAGCTTTATTTTTTTCGTATTTATTCCGGAAACTTATAGCGCCCTATGTAAAAATGTCACTTAATTTGTTTGAAAACTGTTCTGCCATATCATTACAGTGACAACTGCGCGCTGATTGGCCCAGCTCGAGTTCGAAACAATTGACGGGTGTCGTTAATTGTTTCACTTCAAATCGATCGAAGTTAACTTGAGCCTTGCTATAATGGACGAAAATTACAATATTACATATTTAATTACCCATGAAATTTGATTCTGTAATTACACGTTTTGCTGTTTTTCCCCACACCACCGAATGGAACAGCACGCCATTGTTGGAGATATTATCTTTATTACAATAAATACAGAAGGTTTTTGGAATATACGGAGACTGTACACTCAGGTCAGTTGTTGGCGTATATATTTTAGTGCAAACGAGAGTTGATATTTATAAATGATGTATCACTGATGAGTTACCAGGATATGGTCCTTATTTCGTCTCTATTTCTGGTTATATACTCGATGACTGAAACTAACAAACAAAACTAAAATAGAGAAATAGTTTTATCTCTAATCTGCGGTATCGTATTGTGGCGGTGACGGCTGCGTGGAGGGATGAAGGGTAACAGTAAGTAAAATAAGTCGACGAAAATGTTCTGTGTTCGATCTTTCTATTCATAATCATAAGAAAAAATCTTCGAACGAACCTACGTCTCCTAGCAAACCGTGCCAGATGCTATGCCTACTAAGCTACGGAACGAATCAGCGAACCTCACGAATTTTTCTGTGTGCTTGTTGTTGAATCTTTGTATTTGGTTTTCAACGACTTTTTAGCCGTAGCGCCATCTATGAGAAATTTATGAAAGTATTTCGTCACCCAGTTAAATACCTTTACAGCTACTAGCCCTGGGCAGAGATGTTGCTATTAACTTTTTAATTAAACTTTTATTTAATTGATATTCAATTATTTTTTGTGAAACTACTCCACTAGTTTGTTATAATTATTCTATTATCTCTAATATATTATCTAATATATTTGATCGAAAGAAAAAAAATGAATATCAATTCAATAAAAATTTAATTAAAACTAGTGAAGTTATTTCATAAAATAAAGTAACGTAAAGGTATCGGATGCGGTGAGAAGGCTATTCAAAAATCTCTCACTAGATGTCACTAGCGGCGACGAATGCCGAAAGCCAGTACAAAGATCAATAACAAAAATATAGGAGAATTTCAACGCCTCGGTACTGAACCCGTAGCTCAATTGGTAAGAGCAATGCTACCGTGCAGCATGGACGTGAGTTCAAGTCCCACCGGGTGGTCGATATTTTTACTCATAATCATATCCAAACTAGTGGAGTTATTTTACTGAAAATCTCAATAAAAACAGTAAGCATACAATGATATTAAAAACCCATGGTGTATGGGCCGGGCACTGGTGTGCCATATGTGCCGCACACTTGCCCCATCCCATCTCCGGCATACCAGCAAGAGGGCTGGCTTTGCAGCTGACTTGGCGGAAAGAATAAAAAGTAATAAGTACCAGGATCTCGGCTCCGACTATCTATTTACTGCCTTTGGAGTCGAAACCCTTGGGGTCGAAGTGCCCTTTTAGGTGAAGGCCTACAAAATTTTATCTAAAAAATTAATAGACTGTCTGCCATACAAAGGGGAACGCTGCCAGCATCTTGGGCACCTTGTCGTGGGGACCCAATTTAATTAATATAATTTAAAAATCCTAGTTTTACTACCTAGTATTTAAGCTTTTATTGTACCCTACCTGTATATTATCACACTTCTTGCTTTTTTGTTAAGTTCGTCGTAATTATTATAAAACATTTCCCTGAAAAGTCAGTTCTACTGGAGAAAGGTGTACACAACACTTTTTATTTCTTTCGCGCCTTCGTATGTACTAACAGAGCCAAAAGTTGACGGAGATCGAAATATATTGTTTGTTTAAAGGTAAAACCACAGAAATGACATTTTCCACAAAAAGTCTTTAATTTATATAGCTATGGTAAGAAAATAATTATCTTTCTGCACGTGAAACTCAATAAACAAAAAAGCTATACACTTAATAAGAGTTTTATCTGCAGGTGAATTTCTTACCACCGGTTAGATATGAGCGCCAAGTCGGCGCGCCGCCGTCGTCGCGCCTCCCCCTGCGCCGCCGGCGCCGCCGCCGACAAGTGTAATTATTTATATGCATATAATTTTTCCTTTGAAAAAGTGTTTGTATAACGGTTTTGTAAAACCAAACATAGTTATACAAATTGGTTTCGTGTCAACACCTTTTCGTCGGCGCGCTGCCGCCGGCTGGTCTATTATCGGCGCTCACGTCTACAACTGGTACACAATTTGGATATTTTTGTGGAAAATGTCACTTATGTGGTTTTACCTTTATGCAGACGAAATAGTTGTAATCTCTGGGTGTACAAACGATATTCGTATTTTATATTCGGACTTAGTGCACAAGTGACATCTGAAGACGGTCCGAGTTATCTTCATCTGTTATTAGTTCCTTCTACCTTAATTGACTTAAATTACTAATTGTAGACTTTGCCCGTGGCCTAGACCTTTTTAATTAGCTTGTAAATAGATTGTGGACTTTAGTTTCTACGATATCAAGGAACGGGTCGAACATGTGCGCCTGGTGGTAAACGACACGCCTATCATGACAGTTGCATATGCACTCTGAACCTTAAATCGCGTAGATATGAGGGACTGTTACCCAGAGACATAAGTTGACAAGTCCCATGTGCCTGTAATTTCACCAGCACCCTTACCCTTCAAAACCGGAGCGCCGTATTGCTCACATTACTTCTTGCTGGCAGAAATGCTTCCCTGGACGAATTTTTTCACAATAATCTCAGTACAGAGTACTAAAAAAACCGACCTCAAAAGTACGTGGAATTACGTCTGTTTGCCAAGTTTTATTGAAATCGGTTACCGGAAAGTGCGCAAACCCGGATTCATCCCCTAGTTCGCCGCCATACGGGACTTGACACTGGAGATAATAAAAATTGGTTCTCACTACTCAAAGTATATTGAGAGAGAAAAACGCCTTGAATTAGAGAATACCAAAATCAACTATTAAAATAATAATTAATTGCCCCTTGTAATAAAATTTAGGCGCTATTCATAAAAATGAATCTTTCACGTGGACAGCCACTCTTAGAGGTGGATGATTTTCTTCAAAATTAAAGGGAACCACTATGGAGGTACCCTCTTTCAAAAATAAAAGAGAATCATGAAAATCGGTGCACAAATACCGGAGTTATCGTGTAACATACATACAAAAAAAAACATACAGTCGTATTGAGAACCTCCTCTTTTTTTCGTCGGTTACAAAGCGCTACAGCCACTGAGCTAAGTCTAGGATGAAATATTTGGCCATTAGAAAATATTCATTTTGTAATAATAATTGTACGTATTGATGTATAAAATCACTCTTACAAATATCGTAATTACACTCTGTATATTGATGATGATATTACGTTTTTCCAGGTACAACTACAATCACAGCAAGTACATTTCAAACTCTATTCCCAGAGCAAAATAGACTGTATTCCTATGCTTTTAAGACGAACGTTACCACTGGTACAGTGACACCAATAGAGGATGGTTCTTGGTGGTGTCTGGAAGGTTCATTGTTGGTACAAGTTTATGATGATTTTGGAAGAATTCGAGTGCAGATGGAAGGACCAAAGGTATGATGATAGTTATACATAACAAACAAGTCTACAAGGTGTAACAAAAAGATCTACAAGTTGTAACAAAAAGGTCTACAAGTTGTAACAAAAAGGTCTACAGATTGTAACAAGAAGTTCACGGATTGTAACAAAAAAGGTCTCACCATATTTTAGCTGGACTGTAGTGATGATAGCAATTTGTTTTTGCAAAAGTTGACAAGTTACATTTTTAACCGACTTTAAAAAAGGAGGAGGTTCTCAATTCGGCTGTTTCTTTCTTTGTGTATATGCTACGCAATTAATCCAACATTTGAGAACTGATTTTGATGATTCTTTTTTTATTGGAACGAACCAACGGGCCTCACGAATTTTTCTATGTGCTTGTTTATTGGAACTTGAACAGCGACATATCTAGCCAGGCCTGGTAGCTGTAAAGGTGCCTAACTGGGTGACGAAATACTTTCATAGATTTCTCATAGATGGCGCTACGGCTACAAAGTCGTTAAAAATCAGGTACAAATACCCGACAAACAATCACATAGAAAAATTCGTGAGGTCCGTTGGTTCCGTGACTTAGTTGGCATAACGTCTGACATGGTTTGCTAGAAGACGTCGATTAGAATCCGGCCGGATCGAAAGAATATTTTCAAAGTATTCGATCTTTGTATTAATAATTATAATAAATACTTTATTAGATCTGTATTTTGGTAGTAAGGTTCAAACGAGCAAACATCCTCCCCGACGAGCCCCACCCCTGCTCCTGCGTTTTGCATCGAACTACTATTACAAATATAATATATTTGTTTTTGTATGAAAGCAAAACCCGATGAATTATTAAAATTCATGGAACAAAACTTGTTGTTTCTGATGTTAGTAATATTGGAGTCTTGAGAGATTATTAATATTTCACAAACCACCCTGTGTATAAGCTTAGCAATAGATATCAACTGGAATATAATTTCGAAATTTACAGTCCACAACAAACAGCAAACACGGAGAATCCAACTTCCAATCGGACGAAGCAGTTCACTTCTTGACAACTCCATGGGAAATTGTAAGTGATTTATTTTTGGGATATCTACCCTTGGCATAACCACAATAACTCAAGAGGTTAATGGCTGTGGATATCAATTAATTCCTTTTTAATATGAAACACAAGTAGTCAGTTATTGTCTCCTTGTAATATTGTTCAAATATTGACCATGAGCCATCGAGTATATAACCAGAAATAGAGACGAAATGCCATTGACTTACAAATAAATGGACGACGGGTCTAATACAAAAACCACGAAAAAAATGTCCCAAGTCAACCTATTTAAACGTAGTTACATGTAAAGGAATATGAAAAAGCTTTTAAATTGTAATGTCATCGCAGTACTGTCTAATTTTGCTTGCTTCGCTGTCAGTCAAACAAACGAAGACTAAAGCGTGAATGACGCTCTGTATACGATTTTAACGCCCTATAAGTTCGGATACTTTTTAGCGCGGACCCGTCCATATAATTGTAAGTCAATGCGAAATGCCATTTAATATGTTTGAAAACTATTCTGCCGTATCATCACTGTGGCAACTGCGCTCTGATTGGCCAGTCTGAATTCGAAACAATTGACGGGTGTCGTCAATTATTTCACTTCAAAATGATCAGTAAACTTGAGCTTTGCTCTAGTAGACGACAAATTGTAAAATTACATATTTTATATTTAATGACCAATGAAATTTGATTCCGTTTGATTTTGTAATTAGATGTTTTGCTATTTTTCCCCACACTACCGAATGGAACAGCACGCCATTGTTAGAGATATTATCTTTATTACAATAAATACAGAATGTTTTTGGAATATACAGAGACTTACATACAGGTCAGTTGTTGGCATGTCTATATTTCAGTGCAACGAAAGTTGGTATTTATAAGTGATGTATCACTGATGAGTTACCAAGAGGCCCTCATTTCGTCTCCATTTCTGGTTATATAATCGATACCATGAGCTAAAATTATTTTCTAAACTTTGACAAATATGCGTCTTAATAGAAGGCATTGTGTGTCAAACTAATATATATAGATTGCGTTAATCCTAAACGAAATCAAAGAAGCGCCATATAGTTTATTTCTTTGTTATCACTAGAAATTGGAACAGTTTTGATTAATTGCGGGCACGGATTTATATACTTCGTAAACTGGATCGCGCACTTCGATATACCAATATTACACCTGGGTTATGTTGAGGTTTATTTTAAGTAAAAGTGAAAAACCGAGGCACGTGAGATAACTCGAAGTAGTGGTCTGTCCTTATTTAATACGTTGCCAACGCTAAATAAAATCTTCTTAGGTAGTGTCTAGTCTATTAACTTTTTAAATTTTGATTAAATATATTTGCTTAAAGGTAATATGCTGTTACTGTAATAATACATCAACAATGAAACCTTCTATTATGAAATAGCATATCAAGAAGTATACTAATTTGTATTATTAAATAATATTATTAGTTTTGGTCATCCATAAGCGACTACATTTTCTGTAAAAACTAAAAAGTTAAAAACAAGATGGCTGGCTTAAAAATGAATGAACACCCTATTAGAAAGAGACGCATTACTACTTGAAAGCCTCTCACTCTGCTCGTTTTTTTTATACAAGTCCGTGATTGCAGGTCGTCAATGTTAGATAATTTAGTTATAAAAATAGCTATTTGGTATTGCTCGCGACATCTGGTGTATCAATACGTACTAAATAAGCGTCTACGCTGTCTTGTACCGTGATTGGCAGTCTTCTTGAGTTATCGGTTCATGGTATAACAAAGTGACATATATGATCAGATATCTATAGTAAGTTTATCACATGAAAGTCTCGATAAAGTTTCTCAATAAAGTCACTAAATTTAAGTACTATAGCATGGGAAGTAGCTTGGGTAGCGTAGCGAGAGGTACTTTAAAAATATAAACGACGATTATATCATAATTATAACTTTAAACGTGTATTCGATTTCACAGCTTTGTCCAGAACTCCTAGATGTCTGTTCGACATCAACACTTTATAATTTTTACAATTCTAAATACAAAATCTAAGCTGCGTGTACTACAGTACCTTGGGCACTGGGTCACCGAGAAGATAATACTGATATTGAAAGAGAACGTAGGGCGCTGGCAGTGCTGGGCAACATGTTGGTCCGTAGGTTTGCTAGGTGTACTAGTAACGTTTAGGTATCGCTATTTAAAGCTCACTGTCAGACCTTTTACACCTGCAGCCTCCATAGACTGCAGGGAGCTCCCTACGAGTTGTTTATAATAATATATTCAGGATGTTGTAGCGGCTGCCCCGATTCTGCAGCGCCTCACATGCGTATGCACAAATAGATGGGTTCGCTGCCATCACACGCGAGAGACTCCTCTCTCTCGCGTGACTCGCCATACACTTGTCGAGTATTTTCACAAAAAATAAACCTTTTTTTTATTGATAGCAGGTCGAAAGATGAATATCATTGTAGTAAAAACTTCATGATATGCAATAAAAACAAAAATATTGCAATTAATATACAGCGACATCTGTGTTAATGTTACGGACGGCCGTACGCGCCTGGCCGGTCAGAGCTAGAGTTCAGAGGAGAACGAATAATTCAGGAGCTCTGATTGGCCGAGCGGCGTAGCGACCCATTGATAGGACCGGTGCGGTGTGGGAGACACCGTACCGGTATAAATATAAGCGATAATTGTCATTCGAATCAATCACTTTCACTTGTCACATTCAGTTTTCCTGGATTAGTTGTTTCTTGTATTTGTAAGTCAGATCGACATATATGAATATACAGTCCACTTCAGATTAAGGAAGTTTCATTTTACAATAAGGATATGGAAGGAAGAACAAAGAAGGGAAGTTCAAGTTTGCTAAATTTGTAACAGTTAGTTTTCGGGTAGCTGTAAGGGTACCTAACTGATTGAAGAAACTTCCATAACTTCTCACAGATGGAATACTAATCAAATTTCATTGTCCAGAACTCCTGCTTCACTTCAATTCATGTCCACGCGGAACCAGAATGGGTTACAAACATCAAACGAGCGCTGTCATTCAACTTCTTGCTGGCATCACCTGCTGACAGCAAGGACACTCATTATACTATTCAAGAGGTAAAATATACTACATTTATTACTTTTTCTTCTTATCACGTCGATACTTCTTTTATTTTAGAATTCTATTGACCCTGAATAGTACGTTGCTACCTCGACTGCGCTGTCCGTGGCCGCGTAGAGGATCTTCCCTCGTACAGTAAGTGCTGCATGGACTGTGTTGGCACATCCCTGATACCCGATTTATACTTCGTGTCTCTGCAGCGTCCTACCTGAGCGTGGAGTCGATTTAAGGACTTCCGCACGGGCCACCGCAGATCGCAACCTGGTGGTAGTTGCTCTTGAGATATGGTACCGAGTACGAAACAATCTTGAGGAAGTGCTACAGTACTCCAGTTCCCGCTAACCCGCGTAGCCGTGCTACCCAATCTTGACAGCTTATCGTCCAGTTTATGCGGGTGAACAAGATTCCGAATCAGGCGGTAAGACTCATCCTATAAATGAGTTAATAACACTGCACTTGCACTGTCGTCGTACTGTTTTATTTAATAAAGTGCTTTAATCGCCCATAGAAACCGTCCCATTCTTGCCCATTATGATCGAAAACTCCAATATTTCCAATAATTTTCTTCATCTTGGACACTACAAATAAATATGTGGGTAAGATCCCATGCTCGTCGCCAGATGGGGTGTCGATAGGTAGCGAATGAAACAGCCGCACTACTCTGTAGCTTGTTGATTACTGTTATATCCGCTCACGCGATGCGCTCCTCCTACCGCAAAATGGCGGTTATTTGGTTTCGCAAAATAGAAAAGGATTCAGTTTAAATACAAGTTTTTATAAATAAAAATTATTATTCTGCATTGCTAAATAAATACCCTCCGTACTACCAACAAAAACATTTCAAATAAAATGCAGTAATACACCGCCAATCCTGCACTTAAAAAGCACTAATGAAATTATTGGTGTACTGGGATAAATATGATAATATTCCGTTTGAGTGGTTCTAACGTTTACCATGAAATTACTCCTTAAAGTATAGTTTATAAACATTTATATTCAGGGTAAACTTAAAAAACGCTACTTACGGTATGTTTTCAATAAATAAACACCGAAATCACCAGCCCAAACAATAACACACACGTGTTACCCATGGCGTTACTACATGACGACGTTGCATACCAATAGTGATTGCGAAAGACAAATGAATCATTAGTTAAATTCCCAAAAGTGCAGTGTGGAAATCAAGATGTACGAATGTAAAATTTTAGAGTTCACTCTCGCTCAATCGCGGTAGCGAAGCAGTCATATCATAATTTATTTTAAGGCAAACCTATTGTAACGTTTTTGTTAATTAAATATCATAAAGGACAAAATTGCCTTTTTAAAAACCTCCTTCCGACGGCCAGTTCCGTAATTGGCGCAGTCGGTAGGATAGTCGCGAATCGGGCCGAGTTATCCAAAAATCGATCGCTCGCGTCTGATAGTCGTTTCGTCGACGGTCGACTATCGCTACGAATCCACGAGAAGTGCTGTTGGAGGAGCCCACAGTTTCCTGCGCTGAGGACCACTACATCAAAAATCGATGGGTGAAATTATGCAGCGACTACTAGAACTGATTCTCGTCATGACCCTGAGCCTGGACCCAGTACCAGCCGACCAACTGATGGGCAACATCATCCGACTTGATGACTTATCGAACGGACCTTTGTTACTACCCTTTAACCTAGGCAAAACTAAAATTATATCCCACGAGCATTCCTTCTTACAAGAAATACACATCAATAAAATCCAAGACCAAGTTAGCTCCCTTGAAATCCAGTTAACTGACTCTATCAACCACGTGTCTAGGAAAAACAATTTCATCTTCAAATTTCAGTTCATACACCTCTTGAGTAAATTAAACCGAATAAAATCACGCCTAGAATCATTTGAACCCAAAAGACTGAAACGTGGTCTAATCAATCCCTTGGGTACAGTCATTAAAAGTATAACAGGTAACCTTGATGAAAATGACGCTCTAAGATTCGAAAATGCTATCAAAATAATGCAAAAGAATGATCAAACACTGTCAGCGGCTTTAAACAAACACATCACTTTATTTCAAGATATGACTATTCAACATACTCAAACTCTGAATAATATAAGCCATAATCAACAAAAGCTTACGGAAGCTGTTTCTTATCTTATAAATTCCTCGAAGGAAGAGCATGTAATACAGTATATTAAGACAATGCAACTTTTTAACGCAATTTCTGAAAATATTCAGGAACTTTCTTTAGAAATAGATAGATTAGAAAATATTTTAGCATTTAGTCGTACTCAATCTATGCACCGTTCAATACTATCAATTAAGCAATTAAACGATATAGTAAGCAAATTGAGCACTTTATATAATTCGAATCAATTTCTTAACTTAGATACTAGATATTACTATGATATGATTAGCTTAGGTTCCTACTTCGTTGATAACAAAATAGTGATCGTCTTAAAATTCCCTATTTTATCTTCAACCTCTTATAACCTTTACCGACTTTGCCCGGTCCCTAATAAAAAATCCCATGTAATTCTGCCTCCATTCCCGTTCATAGCAACCAACTCCAAGGAATTCGTGTACATAGAGGCAGAATGCCCGAAGGTGGACACTTGGAACGTTTGCGAGCAAAAGATCACTCATCAGAAACGCACACATCGAGACTGCATCTATCACCTCATATATCAGCGCGAAACAGACAATCTATGCCACCCAACATTGGTAACTTTCTTCAAAGATGCATTACTGGAACTCGACAGTCAACATTACATCATATCATTTCCGGAAGCTACAAAAGTTCAGATGTTCTGCGAACATGAAGAATATCGCTCACTGAGCGGCAGCTATTTTGCAACGGTACCCAGAGATTGCAAAATTACAACAAAAGATTTCACAATCATTAACGCTGACGACAAAATTCGCGGTAACGCCGTCGAGCTGATGTCAATCCCAACAATCACACCACTTAACAAGAATTTGCCACACTTCAATTTCACAACAATCAATTTGGATAAATTACACAATATTCAACACCAAGTTCTCATGGAAACCCCTATAAAAATTGACAGCGTTCATCCTTCAAATATATATCATACAACAATACCGTTGTACTTCGCTCTATTAAGTGCAGCTGTACTTAGTATTTCATACATACTGCGACACCGCCGCCGCCGACAGCTACAAATCAAACAAACAACTCCTCAATCGTCGATGCCTCAAACCAATGTAAGGACTACGGAGGTCCCCACATCATTGGAAGCTGAAAGAACATCTATGCAAGATCGTCAAACCGCAATATTTGCTCTCAACCTTTGCAAATAGTTGCTTGTCTAGGAGGGGAGGTGTTACCCATGGCGTTACTTCATGACGACGTTGCATACCAATAGTGATTGCGAAAGACAAATGAATCATTAGTTAAATTCCCAAAAGTGCAGTGTGGAAATCAAGATGTACGAATGTAAAATTTTAGAGTTCACTCTCGCTCAATCGCGGTAGCGAAGCAGTCATATCATAATTTATTTTAAGGCAAACCTATTGTAACGTTTTTATTAATTAAATATCATAAAGGACAAAATTGCCTTTTTAAAAACCTCCTTCCGACGGCCAGTTCCGTAATTCACGATTGTTGTGACGTATTTTTGAAGTTGTTTATTTTTTTTAAAAGACAGACCCAGGCATTAAAAACTTTATGGTTTGCTAGAGTAGTTACCGAAATAGCAATTAATATTAGTTCTTTTGCCTGTTATAACTTCGATATCCGATAAATCGGTATAAAATCATCACCGGCACCTCTAGGTGTGGTATGCGTCTACGGCTGCATGTATCGCGTGAGCGGTTAGCCTCGGTAGTACAATTATATATATATCGTGAAACCAGGAGGTCGGAGGTTTTTCCGTTTACACAATGTACACCTAGTGACAGTTGGACGGTCACTCGTAGGCTTTGTGGTGCGCTAGAAGCTTTTATGACTTTTGAGGCGAAGGGTGTCGACTGTCACTCTCTTCTTTGTACTTCTCCGTAGAGCATGCTACATCTCGACACACGTATTGTGGTGCAATACCTGCTAGAGGATATACCACATTGTCGGGAGTTCGTTTGAGACAGCCGGTGATCAGGCGTACTGTTTCATTAAGTGCTCCGTCAACAAGTCCTGCATGTACAGACCTATGCCATACCGGACACTCGTAGTAGGACACCTAGCGCTGCTCTCCAATTGGTGGATGTTAGCGTTTACCCCCAGATATTTAAGAAAACATTCGTGTTGGATTATGGCGTTTGGATAGTTGCGCAGATGGAAAGCACACGTCTTTTTGGTCATTCCATACTGTCACCGTTAGTTTCCGATCCGCTCGGTTGGGCAGCTTTCGGGAAGCTCCGGGACGTCTTCTAGTCCGCAATGCCGCAGTCCTTGAATACAAAAGTCTTCGAGCAGTGAGTGTTGTTAGCGACGACCTCGGGCTCTGCGACGTGGTTATAACTTCGTAGTTTTGCTAGCTAAAATATCAATGACGCTAATCAAACGCTGTACTGCCTCCGGATTGGTTAAATTGGCCTAAAAGTTTTGCAATCGGGACATAAATCTTTATAAGAAAAAAAAATATTGGTTAAAATATATGTGCTACTTAGGCAGTTCTATTATATCTCTTTGTTTTTTGTTTTGTGGCATTTGTTTGGCTTTCGTCTAAATATATGAAGAGGCTGTGTGGTGGAACCTTTGCCCACCCTAATAAATAGGTTAAAATTTCTTTTTTTTTTTTTAATTGCTTTTGTTTTTAACAAATAGTAGTTAATGTGACTGTTACATAGTGAAAGGCATTAAAATACGAGTGTGGGTTTATGTAACGACCCGACGAGTTTTATAAAGACATCTCACGAGTGATTTAATGCCTAATTATGTGCAGTTACATACACTGCTTTATCTACACACATATTATAAGCTCTCTGTTATGTGTTCAGGAACCGCATGTTACGAATGACGAAATGGCGGCAAATAAAAACTTTTCATACGCATGTCACGCAACGTAGTTTTTATTTTTAATTCATAGACAAACTATAATCGAGCCCAACTATCATATCGTTCGATATCAAGTAACGTGTGAAATTTGTCAAAATTGTTTGCTATTGACATTTCATTTCGAATAAAATTTCATCTCGACTGATATTAGAATTGAGGTCCAATCAAATTGTTTTGTTTTTCAGAGATGTTCGAAATTTGAATGTAATAATACAATCGATTTTATTCATAACCAATAATAACATTTTCACAGATAAGAAATTTGTTCTAACAAAACCGTTTATCTTTATGCTTTGAGAATTCGCTCTGGACCTTTTGGAGGGAAAATTGTCGTTTTTATTTTGACTTTCAATTATTTTGTGAAATCTAGTTTAAAGTGGAATAGGATAGTGCTATTGTGCCTTAATCGAAGATTAAAACGCGAAATTATACGAATCTCGAAATAAAATACCCGTATCGGCCCGTTTTAAGGAATCCCGAGTCAATCCAAGCACGCCGCCTCAAATTGCCTATCCTCTTTGTGGCAGCCATATTTACAGAAACATATTTAAACTTCATGTTTAGGCTGATGGCTTTGCCAAAGCCTTAATAAATTAAAAAAAAATATGCTTTGAACACATAATAGAGGGTATATGATATGTGTGTAGATAAATATATATTATATATAGGTTGTGTTTTATTTTTTTATTTACTTGTAGAAAAAGTATTGTAGGCAATAATTACATAATTAGGTCTTAAAATCTCGACTTTAAGAGCCCTGATTAGGCAACGATTGCAAACAATACTTTTTCTACGACTAAATAAAATAACGAAGCAGAACCTATATGTAATGAGTATATAATCAGAAGTAGAGACGAAGTGTCATTTAATTTGTTTGAAAACTATTCTACCAAATTATTACTGTGACAATTGACGGGTCGTCAATTGTTTCACTTCAAATCGACCAGTTTAACTTGAGCTTTGCTATAATGCACGGAATTTGAAAAATAACATATTTTATATTTAATTACCGATGAAATGTGATCCCGTTTGTTTTATAATTAGGTGTTTTGCTGTTTTTCCCACACACCACAGAATGAAACAGCCCGCATTGTTAGAGATATTATCTTTATTACAATAAATATAGAATATGTTTGGAATATAACGTAGGTACACTGCTCAGTTGTTGGTAAGTACTATTTCAGATTTCTAATTTGTGTTTTCAGTGCAAACGAGAGTTGATATAAGGCCCATTTACCTGATGGGTAGATGGATGGCCCTTGTTTCGTCTCTATTTCTAGTTATATACTAAATGCTGACAATAAACGCATTTTTTTTGTAAATTTTTATTTATTATTTAGGGTAGGCAAAGGTTCCGCCATACATCCTCTTCATATATTTAGACGATCGATGTATTATTCATACAAAGATCGACGACAATTTATATAGTTTACATGTAACAAAATAATGCTTCTTTCACAGCCATGTCTCCAAGGCATCTGCTTAGCAGTGTACTTCAGGTCAGACTCCAAACTTCGCAAGTACTACAGCACTATACAGAGCGGTGTAATATCGTCTCATGCACTCCATTGCCAGTCACATGCTACTTCTAGTGCTTGGTATACTACGCCGTATCATCCTCATCACGTAAGTAGCATTAGAGCTTCCTTTAGTAGCAGTAGAGTTAATCGCATTCAGGGTGCTGATGGGGCTTCCGTGGAGGTGTAGTGCATCGGGGATGTTTGCCGAGGCTCAGATGGACGGTTTCATGGCCATCATGAGGAAAAGGTGAGCATCTGCGCTAAGGCGCCTCCGTGATAGCTCCAACGGCGTCCTGTGTGTGTTTAAAGATCGGTGGGACTCGCCGCTCCTGCGTAGGTGGATAGAGCTCCACACTATCTTAAATGTATAAGTAGTCTTTCAAATTATAATAATATTAATACTAACACTAGTTCTTAAGTTGTTTGGTTTACTAACTCTATATGGATTTTATCTGAAATAAATATTTGAATTTGAAAATTTGAATTTGAAATTGTGAAAAAGTCTCAGGGTAACAGGCGCAATGGCAGTGTCCTTCAGATCTTTGCGATGTAAATGGACTGGCGTGTCGCTTTCCACCAGGCGCACGACTTGTTCGTCCCGTCATTTGTTATCTTAAAAAAAAGTCTATATGTTATTTATATAAAGTTGTTGAAACTTTATAATTAATAAGTTCATGAACCGAATTCGTTTCCGTTTCCGAACATGTATTAAGTAAAATTTATTTCGGTCCGCGCTAAAAAGTGTCCGAACTTATAGGGCGTTAAAATCGTATACAGAGCGTCATTCACGCTTTAGTCTTCGTTTGTTCGACTGACAGCGAAGCAAGCAAAATTAGACAGTACTGCGATGACATTACAATTTAAATTGAACGTTTTAGCTTTTTCATATTCCTTTACATGTCACTACGTTTAAATAGGTTGACTTGGGACATTTTTGTCGTGGTTTTTGTATTAGACCCGTCGTCCATTTATTTGTAAGTCAATGGGTTTAATAATCTATTTAGTTATGTGAGGTGTATAACATATAATTTTTAATTAATTATAGAATGTAATTTCGAGTATTAAACGGTCGCTACATTAAAGTCCAATAATCTTTATGCCATAGGTAAGCGAATTACTCTTGAAATCAGACAGTTTCCCCCGAGAACAATGAGCAAGAAACTCTAAGGGTTGGTCTTTATAAATATACATTTCAACACATTTATCATTACAATATTTCATTTATACATCTTAGATCGAAACTACCTGCAAAACCTAAATTACCACGGATTTTTGTCATCCAAATAAGCAGAAGCTGTACAATAACCTTTATTATAAAGTTTTTGTTTCACTATAGTTTTAAACCTCGTATATGGTACATTTATCTTATTTATCTTATGAGAAGACGGAAGAACTCCTGGTTATATTATCCTAAATAGACTTCCATACTTAAATTTTATTTATCTATTTATTTTATTTATTTATCTATATAAATGCTATTAAGCGCACTCTACTCCATTTCATTTCACACACACACTCAAACACACTCACCCACACACATAAACACACACACTTTCACACACACACACACACGCACATTCACACACACACACACACACTTACACATACTTTCTACTTACTTTTTATTACTGCTATTGCTACTCTACACTAGATTCACGGCACTGCACTACACTATTTCAGTTTTAGCCGCAGTTTTCTTTTCTGATTTTGCCAAAACGGAGAATCTTCGTAACACTATTAACACAGGTTTTGTACCTAGAATAGGTTATGATGGTTCAACTTTTGTCTGCCCATACAATTAAGTGTTGTATGTTTAAATTGAATAAATTTATTATTATTATTATTATTTTGATTGTCAATCGGAATCTTCTTATAGAAGCTAATACTTTGGTCGTTAAATGAATTTGAGTCTTTGAAGTGTAGTATAGTTTGAGTTGTATCAAAAACAGTTAGCATGTACTGCGATGTACTGTGACGTTAGAGTAAGAATGTTAATCTCTATAAACTTATCTGTCAAAGACACTCCGGGGCCCATATTATAAATTGTCCTAACCGCGCAATTATGTGATTTTTTTTTATTATACCAAGTGTCGGGTTCGAACAAGTCGTGAGCTGGTAATCGATACGCCTGTTCATAACAGGCCTGTTATATGAATTGGAATGGAATTGTTGTATAAAAAAAGTTTATATTAAATGAGCGTTAACGGAGTATTGCTTATACTTTTACCAATCATAATAGTAATATTTAACAAGAATAAATTGTATTTATTTCCTTGCAAATGTGATGAAAAACATTGTATGTATCACGGACGGTAAAAAATACTAAATTCGAGTTGTTAAAGAATCTAATTTACCGTCTTAGAGACGCAGTGTCATTTAATTTGTTTGAAAACTATTATGCCATATCATTACTGTGACAACTGCGCTCCGATTGGCCAGCCCGGATTCGAAACAATTGACGGGTGTCGTCAATTGTTTCACTTCAATTCGACCAGTTAACTTGAGCTTTGCTATAATGGACGAAAATTGCAAAATTACATATTTAATATCTAATTACCGATGAAATTTGATTCCGTTTGTTTTGTAATTAGATGTTTTGCTGTTTTTCCATACACCATCTAATGGAACAGCAAGCCATTGTTAGAGTGATTATCTTTATTGCAATAAATACAGAATATTCTTGGATCGCATATTCTAAGGATATTTTTATAGATTATTTTATAGTCTATAATCTATTAAGAATAGATTATAGACGTACACACAGGTCAGTTGTTGGCGCATACGACGAGACGAGAGGAGAGTTTATATATATATATTTTTTTCACTCAACATAGCCCCGCACTAGGGAAACCCTGTGTCGCGGGTGCCATGGACATACACATAGACAACCACAAATTACACCCAAACTCACGAGAGAAATAGTAGGCCATACAATTTCTCCCGGCCCGGGAATCGAATCAGGGACCTCTGCGTGGCAGCCCGGCATGGTAACCGTTTGGCCACGGAGGCAGTTTATAAGTGAAGTACCACTGATGAGTTACCAAAAATTTATGGCCCTTATTTCGTCTCTATTTCTGGTTATATACTCGACGTTAATACACAATATAATATTTCAGTCAGTAGCTTGTACTATAGACAATAGAATTTTGGTTCAGAACCAAAAAGAAGCCCGTGATGGTATGCTTTATGAAAATATATTTTTTTATGTATTTATTTATATATATTACAAATACAATTACGTGTACATCAAATAGTACTCTATAAACTTTAAAATAAGTTTTTCCAAATACCGCTAATTCATCGCGCTGTGAACAAGTTATTAAAATAAAGAAAAATTTGTGTTGTGTGAGTGTGAATGGTGAGATTTTGCATCATGAGTTCTCTGACAGGTAAAATCGAAGGAGGAAGCGGTTGTGTATATACAGCGGGTTTATTTAGTACGAAGTCAGTGACAGACATTAATTAGTAAAGATAATAATAATAAACTTAGAATAATAACGCATAGAAACCTAGTCCGCACACGCTAAGTGAGGCCAATTGAAGCGCGCCAAAAGGGCCTACACGAGCGGGCGGGCCTACAGTGCTCAAGGTCAACTTGCACCGCGAACTGCTCAAGAATTTTAGCTAAAAATGACGAAATGTGTGGTAAATGAGTGTAAAAATACGTCAGACAAACATAAAATAGATACTAACATCACATTCCACAAGGAAGTAACGCGTTTCAACTTGTATTTTTATATAAATATTCACTAAAACCGAAAATTCATCTACTACTAAAACTAGCATACATGAATTTGATTTTTGCCTCACTTGTGACAGTTTGTTTGATATGAAACAATCATTCTATGCGTTATTATTCTAAGATAATAAACATATAAATAAAGTACAGATGAATACGAAAACACGTATACATACATAAATGCATACATACGTAGACGGTGTGTATATATTACGTAAGTTTAAATATATACACATTAAATTTTAAGCATTTAAAGTTTTCAGAAAATGTTCTTTTAATTTGCACTTTATGTTCTTAACATTAATTTCACGTTTAAGTTGTTTAGGCAAATTATTAATCAGTGACGGTACTTTGACATTTAATTTAATTTTACCCTAGACCTTGGTGTATGGCGATGTTATTAATCTACCCTCGTGCTGTCGGCCAGTTCTTAATTCTCCGCTAAAAATCACTTGTTGGTCCTTATTATTGTACTGTTCTGTAAGCAAACAATACTCAACCGTTTCATGAACAGGTAACACTGCGAAAAAAAAATAAACCGTAGTTGTTACTTACAAACTGGTGCTTAACTTTGGTTGGAACAATAGTTTTTAATAGGCGTAATTGAAGCTCGCATATTCTATCCAGATGCGTTTTTGATGTAAAGCCGTAACTGCTCAGGCCGTAATAAAAAGATAAAAACACGGCAGTAGAAAAAAAATACTTATCTACACACATACCATAAACTCTCTATAATGTGTTCAAAAACCGCAAACTACGACCAGCATAAAGGTAAACTGTTTTGTTAGAACAATATTTTATCTGTGAAAATGTTATCATTGCTTAATAATAACATCGAATTCGATTTTATTATTACATTCAAGTTTCGAACATCTCTGAAAAACAAAACAATTTCATTCGACCTCAATTCTAATAACAGTCGAGATGAAGTTTTATTCGTAATGAAATGTCAATAGCAAACAATATTGACAAATTTCACACGTTACTTGATATCGAACGATATGATAGTTGGGGCCGACTCTAGTTCGTCTATGCATTAAATAAAAACTACAGTTGTGTAACATGCGTGAGAAAAGTTTTTATTTGCCGCCATTTCGCCATTCGTAACATGCGGTTCCTGAACACATCACAGAGAGCTTATAATATGTGTATAGATAAAGCAGTGTATATAACTGTACATAATTAGGCATTAAACACTCGTGTGGTGTTCTTATGATACGAGCCGACTAAATTACACCTCCCTTTAATACACAATTTTTTTATTCTATATTTGATTTCAGCCTAACTACGTGACGTCGTCGGAGCGGGAATATGAGTTAGATCAGAAAACCGGTCTGGTTAGCTTGGAAATGAGGAGCAGCGTTCAATATAGAACTGAAAACAATTTACTGGCTGTTAAAACTGAGTAAGTTTTTGTTTACTTTGTAGATAAGCAAATTACACCGAAGGGCCAGCGCAAACTGGCGGACGGGAAGGTAGAGGACGTTAAATTTATGTATATTTTGTGCTATTCCCATTGACTTACAAATAAATGGACGACGGGTCTAATACAATACCACGAAAAAAATGTCCCAAGTCAACCTATTTAAACGTAGTGACATGTAAAGGAATATGAAAAAGCTTAAACGTTGAATTTAAATTGTAATGTCATCGCAGTACTGTCTAATTTTGCTTGCTTCGCTGTCAGTCGAACAAACGAAGACTAAAGCGTGAATGACGCTCTGTATACGATTTTAACGCCCTATAAATTCGGACACTTTTTAGCGCGGACCCGACGTCCATATAATTGTAAGTCAATGGCTATTCCTATATTTTTTACTTTATTTACGCACATTACAATAATTTATTATCTAGATACTTGGCACTCTTAATTATAACAAGGTTTGTTTGAGTGTGTAAGAGGGCTGCTGGTGCTGGTGGCGTTATGTCCTGTTGAATGGAATGTAGTAGTAGCCTACGCA